GGGAACTCTGGGAGGAAAGGGGCTTGTGGCCCTTCCCCGCCTCCTGGCCTCATGTTATTCTCTGAGGACCAGCAGAAAGGGCTCTTCCAAGCCCCCCTGGCAGCCGGGCCGCCTTGTGGTAGGCGGTGTTTATGTGAACGCACAAATGTTTATGTGAGATTGCCAACCGGTTATTTATGAGTCTCTCAGCCCTCCCCCAATAAAAGCTGTTCCCTCGATGTTCTGACAGGCCCTGCATCTGTAACTAATGTGTCACTCGCTCAGCTAATGCAGTCCACTTGTGTTTATTTTTGCACAAAAGCAATTTATCCAGCCGCTCCGCGGGGGGAAAAAATGGCCCTGTCAGAACCTTCTTGGGAGCAGAGTGTTTTTCCTCAAAAGAAGCTCCAAATAGCTTGCAGTGCAGGGTGGGCTGCTGGGGCGACTCCTGAGTGCCCCGAGTGTGAGAGCAGGGGACATGGCGGCGTGTGTGAGGCTGGGCCCTCTGGTCGCCTCTGAGCTTGGGGATGGGTGCCTTTGTGAGTCCCTCGGTCTGTCTGGGACTGCATGGGTTTGAGTGTTTGCCTCGGAATCTGAGAGTTCGGCCGGGTGTGCTGGATGATTTTTAAAAAGGTGTTGGGGATGGGGCTGGCTCTCACTTCACATTCCCTCTGGCTGGGATAAATCAAAGTTGGGAAAGTGGGTTGCTGGCAGTTAAAGTGCCTGGAGGAGGAAGCCGGAGGGAGGAAGAGGCCGAGGGTAAAGTTAAAAGGGAGGATTCTTGGCGTCAGGGTAAGGGAGCACTAGCTCTGGCGGGCCAAGGACCTTAGCTATCACACTCTGGAAGCAGATGGCCTCCACGCCACTCCCTTCCGCGATGGTTAATTTGATCATCTCCACTTTGTTTTCCCTCCGTGTTGGCAGTCAACCTTTGTAGGGAAAAGCATGCTCTGTGGGCTAGTTTGGGGCAATAAGAAAGGAGAAGTCATTTCCTGTGGCAGGACCAGACTTCAGGGAAGAGGAACCAAGAAGTGGGGGAGAGGAAGGGTGTGCAGTGACAGGGGTCAGGAGTCTGGCTGAGTTCTTGGGGTCAGCCAGAAGGATAGAGATGCACCCCGTGGGCCCGGGAAGGGCCTGGTGGCCTCTGGGGTCCTCACCCCCTCCTGTGGACTGTTCCTCTGACCCCGGCCAGTCAGGGAACCCAGCTGGGCTGGGCAGGAGAGGCAGCAGTCTCCATGCAGAGGCCTCCCGCTTAAAAAACTCCCGGGTACCTGGGGCCAACCGGCTCTGAGAGACCAGCCCTAATGACAGATTCTTTCTTATCACCCCTAAAAGGCCTGGTGATAGTAATGGGATATTAGGACAGTGGTTCCGGAGGCTGTGCCAGAGGGAACTTGGTGCTCATTTACTGAGACAAGATGTCTTCTCTCAGCTCACACCAAATTGTGGCTGCCTCATCCCAATTGCAGGACCATATCACGTTCACAGAACTGTCTCCATCTTATGTTTTTCTCCAGTGAGATTTCGTTAAGTCTTTGGTGGCTGCCAAATGATGAGCAAGTAGAAATTGTGTAAACACAGAGAAGTTACGCTTTGCCAGAGTGGGCGTGCGGCAGGGAGCAAGGCTCTCAGCCCCATCTGTCTTACAAGTCTTTGGGGCCAGCCCAGGCCCTGGTGAGGGCGGGAAGTCCCAGCCATTCCTTCCCTCTCCCGTGACCACTGTGTACAGGGAGAAGGGGGAAGAAGAACGAGGGTTTTCACTTCCAGGCTTGACTACTGCAGGCCGGAGAAAACCTGATCTCTGCACAGAAAGTACGTAGCACGGAGTCACATTTTCCACTAGCACCACCATTCCCAGATCCTAAAATGAGGATTCACAAGCTCCCCTGCCCCTGGGGGCTGGGGAGATAGTTCACTAAGAAGAGAGGCCGCACCAATGAAAGACAATAATTGGCCCTTGGTCTCTGGGTTGGGGAGCATTGGGGAGTGCTGGGGACTGAGGCACCTCCCTTTTTAGTAGAAGAGTTATGATGGGAAAATATGGCCCAGGGAACCAGTCTTCTATTTTCAAATCTGGATCATCATCATTATTATTATCATCATCATTGATGGGACCAGGGATTGAACCCAGGGGTGCCCCACCATTGAATTACTTCCTCAGCCCTTCATAATTTTTATTTTGAGATAGGGTCTCAAAATAAAAGGCTGGCCTTGAGATTGTGATCCTCCAGGCTTCACCTCCTGAGTAGCTTGGGTTACAGGCGTGCACCACCCTGCCTGGCTTTAAATCTGGAATTTTCTGTGTACTCTCCTCGTGTTACATGTTGGCAACAGATTCCAATGTCAACCATGCTGTGAGCCAAGCAAAACACGTCCCTGGCTGGTCGTGGCTGGTTTGTCCCTCTGCTGCTATGAAATGTGGCAGAGCTGTCCCTCTTGACATTTGGAGATGTGCCTAGTGACTTGGGGCCTCAGCCCTGCACTAATTTAGGAATTCCTGGCTAGGTGCTCTGAAGGCTTACACCTAGGCTAAGAGGTTGAAAAAGGTAGTCTGTTTCCTGAGAGACAGGTGGCAGGCCTCTACTGTGCTGCCTTTTTTCTAGACCTCTGTTCTTTCACTGAGCAGGTTCTATGGAGCCCTGCTCTGGGCCTGGCCTCTGGGAGCCAGGGCCGGGAGGGCAGATGTGGTTGTCCTAGTTTGGGATCCCAATCTCAGGCATTTGATGGGACTGAATATGGGATGAGGAAGAGGGAATGTCAAGGTCAGCCTCCAGGGCTCTGGTGTTTGCAAATGGAGGGCATGTTGCCTCTGCCAGGTGGGGGACTAGGAAGTCACGCAGTCTTGTGGCGATACTGAATTCTCTGGATTTTACCTCATTTTCTCAGGTTGGAGGAAAGGAAGTACAATGTTTGGTCTGAGATGTGGCTTTGTGACTGCAACCTCAGCTCCCCTTGTCAATGTGCAGCCTCCAGGTGGAGGGGACATGGGATCCAGAGCCCCAGCTTCGACACCAGAAGGTGTTCTGAGGCTCTGCTAGCTCTCCAAGGCCAGCCTCGCAGTGACCACCAAGCCCTCACCATGATCCCAGATCCCTGAGGTCATCTAGCGGCATGGAAAGAGCTCAGAAGCTTGGCTCTGCACTTTGTTAGCATGTGACCTTGAGCATGATGTCACCCCTGGGCATTGTTTCCCGCATGTGTAGAAGGTCTAGCTGGCTGATCTCTATCCTGAATTCAGCCTCCCAGTTCTGCCAGTAACTATGGCCTGCTGCCACCATAACTCAGTAACTTGATTTGATGCATCTTTCAGAGCAAAGACTGGACTGTTTCTTCACTGCTGTATCCTCTGTGCCCAGCAAGCATAAGGCATATTGTAGGCACTTAATATATGTTTGTTGAGTGAATGGAAAGGACTAGATCCCAGCACTGGGGAGCTAGTCATATGTCCAGAGAATAGGTGGGCAGTAAACTTGGGCAGGTCCCTGGGCTTGGAGCACTCTAGCTCTGCCTTCATCCTAGTTTTTGGAGGAGCTGGAGTGGAAGCAGGGGTTGGCTGCATTTGGTGACTATGGGGTATGTGGCTACAGCTATGGCCCAGGCCTGGCTGCTGGGCCCCATGTTCCTGCAGGGCTCCCTGGTTTTTCTGTGAGTTGGTGGGGGAGAGGAGTTGAGGGCATGTGAGTGTTGAGTGGTCAGGGAGAATAGGGTTGTGGGGATATATAGTAGGTTCCTGGAGGTAGGATCCTAGAGTCTGGTTTCCCCACCCAACTTGGGCACAGGGAACACTTCCCAGTTGCTTGCTATCATCTCTACTGAGAGTGGGGTCCCTCTGGGGCAGCCAGAGTACTCTTCTGATTGCCTTGCTGCCTTTCTGCACTCATCCCTGATGCAACAGGAGTGAAGCGGGGGGTCCCAGGCCAGGCAGGGGTACTTTCTCTCCCATGGGTGTTGCTCCTAGAGCCACGGAGCCAGGAAGTTCCTTGGGGAATTTGGATCTGGGGAGCACAGGAGACAATATGAAGCTGGGACACTTTCTTCATCCTGTACCCTTCAGGTCTTATTCTCCAGTAATCCTGCCCTACCATCAGTCAGATATACCAAGGCCAAAAAATTTAAGGAAAACAAAGACAAAAATTAAAAAATAAATAAGAACAAAATATAAAAGTCAATAAAGAAAAGTACAGATGTACCAAAACAAATAGTCATGTCATGAACACCCTTGGAGCCACAAACCAGTTTCAGAAATAACATGACAAGTTCAGTTGGAGCCCTCCTTGTACACTCCTGGACATACTTCCCCTCTGCTGCACCCCACCCCAAAGAAATAACCACCATTTTCTATTTGGGATTTTTCATTTTCACTAATTACTCCTTTAACAAAAATATATACAAGTTTCCTTAAAGTATTTGCAGGGTTGTGTTGCCTGCTTTGAAGTTCTGTATAAATTGTGTCATTTTAAAATGTGTGTGTTCTGCAAAGAGCTGTTTTTCTCTCAACATGTGGGTGAGATTCGTGCCTGTTGACATGCGACTCTGGTTCATTTATTTTCAATGCTGCATAGAATTCCATTGCATGAATATATTATTTCTCCAGGGAGTGTTGCTCCTGGCCCCCCAGAGGGGTGTCTGGGGAAGCAGCCCACCAGAGAGAGGCTTGGTCACCGGGCATATTGCCCTCTGTGGAGACAGCTCCAGCTGCGTGGATGTGCCCACTGAGACAGGGACCACCATTGGACATAGGGCACATGCACTTTTGGGCCTTGGCTCATGGCTTCACAGGCAGACACCAGAAGGCTTGGTGTGTGCCACCCTCAACCAGTGTCAGCTTTGCTTTGCTGAGGTCAGGGTGCCCTTAATATGTTCATTTGAACAGCTGCAGTAACTTATCTTTGGCACAGACAGGACAAAGCTTGAGCTGAGTGCCAGCTGACATTGCCACCCCTGCAAGTAACCCGTATAAACGAGCTCCCTTCTCTAGTCAGAGAGCAGGCCTGACGTCTTTTTTTTTTTTTTGCCAGAGCTGTGTTTCCCTTCCTAAATGGAAGCCCCAAGTGAAAGCCTTGGCTGATGTTTGCTCTCCTGATGTGATTTCATTTCCATCATTATCCGGTGAAAAGATCCCAGCATCCGGCACCAGCACCTTCCTTTCCCCCACCCCTTTGGGATGCCAGCGCCTGTCTCTCCCTCCCAGAACCATTGCTTCACTGAGGAGGAATTCAAGCAGATTTCAGGCAACCTTGTGTTTCCCATAAATCAATGTTGAAAGTGAAACCCTAGCACGAGGGGCCGCAATTGCAACCAGCTGAGCGCAGACAGGCAGGCTAATTGGAACCTGGCCTGCATGGCACGATTTGTATGCCCTGAACGGATGCGGGTTTCTGCAAGGAGGTGCTGCCAAGCCCTTCTCTAGCACAAAGGGGAGACACTGGGCTCAGCGCCAGCCTCTGACCCAGCCCCTGTGCTGACCTTGGCTGAAGGACCACCCTCCTTTTGGCTCTGACCCCTCTTGCTTTACCCAGTGGTCTCCAGGCTGAGTTTTGCCACATGCATGCAAGGTAGCCACCAGCTTTAGGGGACCTGCTGGGAGACTTATATCTTAGCCCTCTGAGAAGGAGAGCCTCAGCCCCAGCATCAGAGTCCTAGGGGTCCCCCGTGGCTCTCCTGGGCCTAGTGATGATGCTTGCCTTCACAGAATGAACCAACCTCCTTTAAAAACTACAAAATTATGCTTTATGACCATGTTGGCATAATGGTGAGTATAATACAGGCTAGACTCCTTATTAGGTATTCATTGTACTATTTGTTTTTGTTTTCTCTTGTGTTTTTAAAATTAGAACATTTTCACCTAAAAGAATCATGGGCCCTAGATACTATGCTTGCTGGGACTAATGAAGAAGGCAGCCCTGACTGCTCCCACAGAACCTCAGATACTCTCCCTTTAGGAAAACTGCAAGATCTCTCTGCTCCCAGACCTCTTCCCTACTGGAATGGATAAGAGAAAGGTCGTGGCTTCCCCAGAAATCCTGTTCTATTGTGGGGTGGTGGGCTGGAGTTGGGATGTCATGTGAGCAGAGGGCTTAGGTCCAAGTTGATTATTATAGGCCCTTCTGAGAGTCAGGAGTAGCAACTGTGTGTGGGGTCTTGTGCACTGTTGGGTGGGGGGGATAAACTGTCCCTAGGAGGGCCTGTTTTGGAGTTAGAGGGCTGTATTCTGCAGGTGGTAACTCTACCCTAGTATTTGTCCAAGTTGAAGATCTGATACTTCTGTATACAGGGCAACGACCTTGTTGGTCTGCATTTTCAGGGCCAGATGATGGTTCTCTGTCCCCAGCATTTTAATTTGAGGGAAGCCTTTGGTCTGAGTTGGGGATGGGGAGAATGGGACTATTGCAGTCACTAGGGGAGAAGTGGTATTGGTGGCTTAAATTACAAAAATGTGTTTTCTCACAGTTCAGGAGACTGAAAGTCCAGGATCAAGGGACTGGCCGGGCTGGGTTCCTCTGAGTAAGGCCTCTCTCCTTGGCTTCTGCTGCTCACCATCGGCCCTTTCTGCTGCTGCTGCTCACCATCAGCCCTCTCTGCACATGGACTTATTCTCTCTCCTTGTGTCCTAATTGTGCCTCCTCATAAGGACACCATTTAAATTGGATTAGGGGGTCACCCTAACAATCCTATTTAAATTTTACCTACCTTTTTCATGGCTCTATCTTTAAATAGGATCACATTGTGAAGTGCTGGGAGTTAGAACTTTGTTTGGGGGGATGTGGGGATCTTGGAGGCCACATGCAAGTTGGTTATGGGATTGTGCAAGGGCATCACAGCTAAGGGGACACTGTTCATATTGTAGAAACTTTAATCATTTGGAAATCTTCCATTTTAATGTAATTTCATTGACTTCAAAGGTGGGCAATTTGTTGATTCCTTATGGCAGATTTCCTGCAGAGGGCAGTAAAGTGCTTACTCTACCATTATTAGTGTATTATGATAATTTTCTGATCAATGGAAATAAAATATCTGAAAAAGCGGTCTCTTTTCTTATGCAGGTGCTGTGTTTTTGGACTGGCAGTGGCTGGAGCATATGGCTGGCCAGGGCCCTGGACATGCTTGGAGTAGGATTTGTGATCGAAGTTAGCAAAACTGACTGAATCTATGCAGGATCATGCAAATGTTAGTTTCATGGACCATGTCAAAGGAGAAGGTTGACTCCAACAGCTGCTAGACTGGGCTGGTCATGGAACCTAGATTCTCTGGTCCTTGTACTGAGCACATTCCTTTGACCACTGACAGAATTTATTTTCAAAACCTGTTCAGTCAACAGAGAAAATACGGAGGGTGGTCTCGAATCATCCCAGTCCAATGATCCAGGAATAATCTGGAAGCCCCATGGCCAAAGCTGACATGGTAACTGCCCCAGGTGCTTTCAGGGACCTACCAACCTCTGCCAAAAATCACCATCGACTGCCCATCTCATTGCCTCGTGGGCAGGATCATCTGGGTCCCTGAGATCCCCACATTTAGGGTCTGCCTAGTGCCAGGGAGGTTGGGAGAAGAGAAAAAGGACAGGGAAGAGTCAGTAAAGAAAGCAGGGACACAGGGGTGCCATTCCAAGTGACATATTAGGCACATTTTGGGGTGTGCCTGTTCAGAAGCCCAGAGGTATGTGGTGGCCCAGCCTTGGTCTCATGTCCTCTCTCCCTCCCTGTGATGCTCAGTTGTTTCTCTCACTGCGTGTGGCCACAGGTTGGGGACAATGTGATTGGAACGCTTTCATTTTTGTCTTTGCTCAAAAGTCTTCTGTCTCTTGGGCTGAGGTTGTTTGAAAGTGAGCTGTGAAAAGTGATCTGGCCATGCATCCCATCAATTTTGCCCCCTCCCCAACAAGTCTGGAAAGAGGGGTGAGAATTTTGCCAGAAATTCAGCTCCATCAGGGTGGCTAGGCCTCAAGCCCACCTCTGGGTCAGTCAGGAGCAGCAGTGGGGCATGCATTTGCCTGTGTTTGCAAGTGTGTGCTTGTGTATGTATGTATGTATTCCTTTGTATGTGTGTTGGCGCATGCATTTTAATGTGTTTGTGTTTTTCTTTGTGTATTCACATGTGTATCTTGTGTGCGCGCATGCATACACACCTCTGTGTGGTTATGTGGTTATGTCCGTGCGTGTGTGTTTGCAGGGGAATCTGTGTGCATGTGTATGCTCATTTTTGTGTATTTTCTCGGATGTGTGTTTGTGCCCGTGCAAGTATGTTCAAGTAGGTCAGATGTATGGACAGATGAACACGAGGCAGGAGGTGGCCCAAGGCAGTCTTAGGCCTTGACCCAGGTTTCCAATGACCACAGATGTGACCTCTCACCCTACCCTGTGGCTGTTGAGGTCATTGCCCCCAGAGACCAAAGAACTTTCCTCTGGAACTAAGTGGGCCTCACTGCCTGGGGAGGATGAAAAGCTGCTTCCAAAAGCAAACCGGATGATCCTCATCCTGGGGAGCCTGGAGCCAGCGGGACCTTGTTTAATTCTGAAAGAATGTGTGCGGTTCCCGCCCAGCAGAGCAGGCCCCAGCCTGACTGAAGGCCTCAGAGCCACCCGGCCAGCAGCCGCTGCCTCAGAACAGGAAGTGGGGGGGGGGGTCTTGGGTTGGCTGCAGACACCATTCCAGGGAGAGACAACCACACAGACTCGTGTGGTTGGAGTGGGCTGGGGTGAGAGAGGCCCGCAGAGCCTTCCTCAGTGGGTCCTACCAGTGTGCCCTGTGCTCGGTGCCAGGGAGGAGGAGATGGCCCAGTCCCAACCCTGGGGGAAACTGGCCTGGAGAGCAAATTCCCCAGCAGGGGTTGGTGTACCCTGAAGGAAAGCAGATAGTGCAGAGGGGAGGCAGAGAGGAGCCCTGCTGGAGGGCTGGGAGCCTCAGGGAAGGCTTCCTAGGGGGGGCCTGTTGGCTGGGGAAGATTTGGAGGGAGAGGACCTTTCAGGAGGAAGAGGTGAGGCAGCGGGGAGAGGAGGAGAAAGGGGAGGAGAAGGGAGAAGCAGGAGGGGAGGGAGGGGGAGAGGAGATTTTTGAGGAAGATGAAAGCTGCAGAGATGGCAAAAGACAAGGCTTTGTGGAGTGAGTGTGCACAGGGGTTCCAAAGCAGGGAGTCTGGGAAGGGAAATCTGGAGGTGAGGCAGAAATGCCAGCCTCTCTGGAGGGCTTTGAATGCCAGCCAGAGTTCATCCTTAGGCAATGGGGACCTATTGCAGATTCTCAAGAGGAGGGGGTGACCCCATGAAAGTGGGGTTTTAGGAAGGCAGACTGGCTGCATGGCCTGGCCATTTGGTGGGTGAACAGGGGTTGTTTGAGGCAAAGAAGCTTGGGCTATGAGTGGGCTCATGGCTGAAGCCTGGGCACGAAGGTGGCAGGACTGAACCCAAGCTGCCTTTGGGCCTTCCTTGGGGCTTGTTTCTGTGTTTGGAGTCCCCTGACCTCTGAGTACTGTGTCAGCCTGAGACAGCGCCTCACCCACAGGCCAGTTGCACCAGATGGGTCTGGACACGGAGGCCATGCCCTAAGCCATTCCAGCTACCAGACCCTCCTTTATTACCTGCCCCTGCTGTGGGCCTCTGGGCAGTTCATCTACTGTCACCAAAAAATGACATCTGTCACTGGGGGTGGGTGTCACCCTAGTGGGCAGAGGCAGAAACCAAAGTAGCCCTTGAACATGAACATAGCCTTGTATAAGTAAGTGTGTGAATGTCAATGTGGCCCAGCCAGCCGCAGCCGTGAGTGTGAGTCCCATCTACTTGTCACGTCAGGGTGGGGGACACTGCCTAATTTGGATGTGTGTACAAGGTGGGTGTACCTAGACCTGGCACAGAGTTGGGGGAGGGTGTCTATGTTTGTTGAGTGAATAAAGGCATCAGTCCTATGGAGTAGACAGAACTCCTGATGGCAGCACAGCCCACGGAAACTGTCCTTACCAAAGACTCGCACTGACTGGGGTAGGGCTGCCTGGGCCTCCTCGATGGGTAGATACTGATTCAACCTTCCCACAACCACAGGCATGTGCTCGCACACGCAGAGAGCAGACTGGAGGGTGATCCCTGGGCCTGAGGTTGTGATTCCATCCCCCCCCCCACTGTCCCCTGGCCCTCAAGGGCTGGAGACACACCTCCTCACCCTCATCCTGAGCTCAGCGCTTCCTAGGTTGTGAGGAAAGGCCGTGAGAACCTCTGGGAAATGGCCTTGGCTTGGGGCTGGGGGAGAGGAAGGTCCTGGAGAAAGGAGGCAGCTAGTCTCTTCTGCGGCCTGACTGAGCAGCCACAGGCTTCCCTTCAGGAGAAGAAGCTGATTCCAGAGTCTTTGGGGGCAGAGTCATGTTGGTGTGACTCTGTCTGGCAGGGAAGGGGGACCCTCCTGGTGGGTACGTTGCTAGAGTCCTGGGCCGTTGAGCAAGTGTGAGCTCGTACCATGCAGGCCAGGAACCCAGCAGCTCCTGCACACTGGGTCCCTGGACCAGGGTCCCCTGTACTGATGGCTGCTCCACCTCTAATGCTCCCCTCCACTGTGAAGGGTTTCCAGAGCCAGGTGTCCTTTGCTGACACATCCCAGTGGCCTGGGGGTAGATGGGGGGTGGAGGTTCCACTGGCATCTGACATGAGCACTCGTCGGGCTAACCAGCGTGCCCAAGCAGGCCCGGCAGCTGAGGCAGCTGCAGGGAAGAAAGGCCACTGCTGCCCCTGCCCCCGCCTGCCTCCTGACTCTCTGGGCCCCCAGCCCCTCTGTCCTCCTTCTGCATTCCACGCGACCCCTCTACACCTCTCACCCCCAGGTGCCATGAAAGCTGGAGTATCCAGCCCTTGACTGGCCACGTGGCTGGAGTTCTTCCTGGTCCTAGCTGCTTTGGGCGCTGTGTTATGGTTGGGCTAATGAAGGACCCTCAGCTGTCCCCGAGGTGCCTCTGCACGGAGGGCCTGGTGCACACTCTCAAGCCAGCCCTGACGGAAGTCAGCATCCTGCTGGTCACGGAGGACTCTTCAACTCTTGTCAGCTGCCATTGGTGTGCTCCTGAACTCTCTGCTGCGGCTCAGGGGCACCTTGCCTTGTTCCAGCCTGAGACGAAGGGGAACATCTGTCATACAGATCTTGCCTTTATGTAAAATTTTGATATTTCATTCAATGAGGATATTTTGCTTTAATTTTGATTTTTAAAAATATGGCTTCAACTGTTGGTCTTGCCTGCTGAGGACTTTTGGCATTCCCTCACAGCTTGCACCTGAGGCAAGTGTCTCGCGGGTCTCTTAGTGCGGCCCTCAGTCCATGACAAGGGTCAGGGACACAAAGAAAGAACTTCCTTGATCTGGCCCAAGAACAGAGACGTTCAGGAGTGGAAGCAGACTGTGAATCCTCCCTTTCAAAGGAGCCTTGCAGAGTCTGGTGTGGGAGGCTTGCGGGGTCAGGAGGAAGAGAAACTTCCAGGATTTTGTAGCTTCTGATACTATTTCGTTGGCACTGAGGGGCAGGGCCTGGGGGTGGGGGCGCAGGGCCTAGGTTAGCCGAGTGCATTACAGAGGGTTTTTTTTTCCCAATTAATTTTTTATTGGTGCACTATCATTATACGTAATAGTGGGATTCATTGTGACGGATTTGTGAATGAACATAACATAATTTGGCCGATTGCATCCCCTGGTGCCTCCCCTTCCCCTCCCTTCCTCCCTCCCTGGGCCCCTCTCCTTTACTCTATGGGTCTCCCTTCTAATTTCATGAGCTCCCCTCTCCGTTTTTCCTTTTCTCTCTTTAGCTTCCACAAATGAGAGAAAACACATGACCCTTGACTTGGTGAGTCTGGTTTATTTCACTTAACAATGCTCTCAAGTTCCACTCACATTCCTGAAAATGACATACTTTTGTTCTTTTAAAGAGTCTTTGGAAGTGGAAAGAGAAGCAGGAAGCAGAAATGGGGTGGAGGGGAAAAGAGTCTGTGAGGGAAATGGAGAAGAATTCGTTCCTACGGAGGGGGGGACTGAGGGAGGCCATGGGAGGAAAGTTGGGAACAACAGCAGAGGCCATAGAGCCTCGTCACCCCCTTCGGCGAGGCCAGCTCTGCATGCTCGCCTCATGTGGGCGTGAGTGGCACCTTTGGTGGGGGTGAGGGAAGAGGTGGGTGGCTTCCAGACTGTGAACATGGGCCAGAGGTGCCATCAGTCCACTGGGACAATTCAGTAGAATCCAGGGTGTAAGCATTGGGATTGGGCCAGGTCTTCCAGAATCTCAAGAGGACAGGGGCCCCTGCCTCTGAATTTCTTCTCACTTTCTGAGGTCTTTGGACATTTTTTCCCTCATCACTTCCTTCTCCAGGGTGAGTGCGGTAAGTGGTTGAGTGGTCAGGAGACAGGGTGCTGTGCCCGGTCTTGGATGGGCCTGTGCTACTCAGAAGCAGTCACTGCTGCCTTCCTGGAACTGGGTCTGCTGGGCCCAGTCTGTGTCCTCAGCTCACAGCTCTGCTGGGTCTGTACCAGGAGCGTGTGCATGAAGAAGCATCGAGAATTCCTGTGCTCCGTCCTCATCTCCCTCTTGGCTTGCCATTCCTTGTTCTATCTTCCATCCTTGGAAGAACGTAAGATCTCTCTTTAGGAAAGAGTCCACCTGGGCACAGTAGCACATGTCTGTAATCCTAGCTACTTGAGAGGCTGAGGCAGGAGGATGGCAAGATCAAGACCAACATGGGCAGCTTAGTGAGACCCTCTTCAGAATATAAAGGTAAAAAGGGCTGGGGAATGCAGCTCAGTGGTACAGTGCCCCTGGGTTCCATCTCTACTACCACCAAAACCAAAACCCCAAACAAACAA